TTTTTTTTCAAGCGAAGATGAGATTAGATTTTGGCACGCACAGAAAGTTGCGCAAGTACCAGTTGCTCGACATACCTGCGTGGCCCGTGCGACGAAATAACTTCACGGGATTGGAAAAGTTTCAGTCACAGCAAATTATGCAAAAAATCTAGAAAAGATGTAAGCTTAAATCTCGGTTAACGTTTAAAGCGACATATCAATGACTGCAACCATCGTGTTGTATACAATCCTCGCAAACTTTAAAACACGTTCTCTAGTGATACCTGCGAAAGTATTCAATATAATTTCCGGTAAGATTTTCGCGGACAATATGATCGATTTGTCTTACATTGTGTGCTGAGACTGAAACTTTTCATCTCAAGCAAATCTCCGTCGCACGGCCCAAGGCATAGCGAGCAACTGAGCTATTAGTATTTGTCCGTCTTACAACACACGAAAGGACTCCAAAGCCCACTTCACTCTGATTGGGCAGAAAAACACAAAGATTTCCTGGCACCAATCAGATGGCAGAATGACTGCGACCGTTTGGAACTAGTCTTGTAAGACAATGTCCCCAGGGGCTCTTCATGCCCTAACTTGAAATCGACCCACAACCCCTGGGTCTCCGAGGATGCTTTAGACGTTTAGACGTTTATTATCAACAAAAGCGACGCCTAGTCTCATGTTATCAGTGTTTAACCACCAGAAAATCTTTCTTTTTCCTATTGACCATTTGCTTTACTTTTGCATCCTATTACAAATTATAACATAACCAATGTAAATCGCGCGCTCTGATTGGTCAATTTAGCGTCCCCCATTTGCCATGGGTGTACGCTGCTGATGTGAGCAAATGCAAAGACTATTTTTCCGCGCGCGCTTCTTTTTTTGCTCACGTAAGATCTCTTAAATAAAAGAGAACTCTTTAGCTACAATGTATCAATGTTATAAATATTGTAAGAAATAGACAACGTTTTTGAGAGACATTTCTCGGCATGCTTCTGCCATTTTCAATCAATGAGTAACAGAACATGAGTGGTTCGAATCCCATAAAGGCCTGATTTTTCTCAGGTCTGATTTTCGCTATTGCATAAATAGCGCTCTCTACTTCGAGGATCGTGCATGATACGTATTTAATACCGCAGTTCAAAATATATATGAACTTCATATATACATTGTATCTGAAGAAGCGGCGAACCCTCAAGTACATCCAAACCACACTAAGAATGCTGGATTTCTTCTGAGCTACAAACGATATGAAACTCGGCTCCAGCCATGGCCGAAAGCGTCTGTCGGAATAATGTTGGGCTTTTGGTCCAGCCCTATCCCATGCAATTAAAACTAATTTCTTTCAAGCTTAAATTCGTTTATCTTTTCGTGCTGCCAACAGCGAGATAAACCATTGCCGGTATTGCCACTAAAAGGGCTTAATATATAGGTCAGACTGCCAACCTTCCTGGACTACGCATGTTTGTATACGAAGGGATTCTCTCTATAGAACTGCCCGGCCTTGTTCCTTGATCAACTCTTAATGAAATGGTACTCAATAATCTCAGGAATAATCTCAAGAAATACAGTGAAATAGAATTCATACTTAAAAAAAAAAGAGAAAAACCTGTCGGTCAGCGATCGGTTCTGACTAAAATGGTAATTTCCCTCAGCAATTCCAAAGCAATTCAGCATCTTGTAATGATGTTCCCTTTTTCGCCATCTTGGGACAGTGGTCATTTTTATTAGATAATTTGGATGAAAAAAGGATTTGTTTAGTTACTCGGTGGAACCTGTGTTTTGTAGATCTTTATGCCTCAGAAGCTCCGAAAAACAGAAACAGGCCAGATAATAAGGGCACAAACGGTGTTACGTTGTCGGGTGGAATACCAAGCCTCCGAACTCAGACCTCTTCAGGAAGTTTACAGGTATGGTTTTTAAGTTATCACTCACTTGCTTGCACGCACGTAAGCACTCCCACAACGCAGAACGAAAAAGGGGTAATTTGTACGTCAGTTTTTCCTTTCCAGAGCTTTACATCGACATCGAGCGATGGAGGCGATTCCCCTCCGGCCGTTCCTGAAAAGAGCAACGATGCGTTTCTTGTCCCAGGTACGGGAAGCAAATTCAGTTATTTCGTTAAAAAAAAACACTGTTCGAGTAATATGAAGTAATTAAACGTCACATGTCGGCCAAGCAATACTATGTGGTGATTTCATTTCTTTAGGTCATTTATCAGCTTTTAGTGCTTCTGTTTGTTCACTTGTAGGCCTGTCCATTTTGTCGTTCAGGCCCCTTTAATGTGGGTCATTTTTGTTGTTTTCGTTCTTTTCCTAACCATTTAGTTGTTCACTTTGCATGTAAAGGTAAGGATAACGTCACCACTTGAGTCACGAGGCTTTTAAGACGCCAGCTTTTCGTGGTCGCCTTTGCTAAACCAAGTAACAATTTTGCCACTCATCCGGGCTGGAGTGGGGATGTGGATGTTGATCAGTCCCAGGTCACCCCCAATCATTTCTTTAGTCCCCGCCCTC